TACTATCTTGAATAAAATATTGCCCGTTCAGTGACTGAAATAATGATAGTCAGAATAGCAGAATAACGATTAGGAAAGGCCTATATCCAGCAGTGGACTACTAGAGGCTGTTGATGATTTTGAGAAAAATAAAAGCAAACCATATTGTAGTATTTTGAGATATACCTATATTCGTTTTCATCGAGATATCGATAGTAATAGACAATGACAAATATAAATCGGCAAACAGTGTATAAGCAAAACAAATGTATCCACATATACAATCATTAGTGACCATGTAAACAGAATGTGTACAAATACAAATAAAAGCTTTCCAATAAACAGCCTTCACAGCCCACTGCCCGGTACCGACAGCAGCGGCCATGTTTGCAACCGCAATTTTCAATCTGTGCGCGTCATGTTATACGGGATAAACCGTCACTTAGCGGTACTGCTAACATTGCTATGTACGTTTTAATAATGTACTTTGCAGTAAAATAACTATTATTGGTATTAAATTATAGCATTTTGATAACTTTTAAGTTATAACTTGTCAAATTTTAAATTAATTTGTATGGTTAATCGTTTGTTATCTTACTATGTATTTTATATTTATTCTCACGGTCACACACTTACGAGAAGGTACTTATGTTAAATGAGTTCACGTCGATGGTCGGTGGGTTCGAACCCAAAACGATTTAACCATACACTACCGTCGCTGTAAACTTTAAAATTATTATTGGTTTATCATTGATAGTTATCGTTGTGTTATTTTGAACACATGAACATTTTTTGATTATTACAGAAACGTAATTAGTCCTAGAACCAATTTATTAAAACTACCTATGCCTACTTTTTTGAAGACCTACTTTAAAGAAAAGATACGTAAAGTTCCTTGGGACACGTGTATGTCATAAAAATGGAGGGAGCTAAATATTTAATTTCTCAATAGAAAGAATGATAAAATCATTTATCATAATATATAGTATAGATAAGTTCATCCAGCCCTAAATTTAATTCATATAGTAAAGGTTTATTATTGTTCTAAAACTGTATTGACAGTACATATTTGGTGCTGGAAAAAAATTGTTCAGTTTATCTTCAATCTCCATATTGATGGATTAATTGTTGGATTTTCCCCAATAAATAAAATGGATTTGCAAACTTTACTTGAGGCCAAAACATAGATAATTTTTGACGTGACAACGTCTTATAAATTGGTTTGCCGGGTGACACTTCAAGAAACTGCGTTACGCTCCGCTCACGTTATGCGCTCACAATGAGAGCGAGTGAGAGGCACGCGTCCCTTCCACTTGGGCATGGTTAGCCCGGTATAAATAAATGTTTTAAATTGTTACTATTATTTCATCCTTCTTCCTACTATACGAATGAATATTCACATTAAAATTATTTTACCACTCAAAGTCGTTGTCACGTAAAACTTTCGCCCGTATACCGACTTTACAGGCAACCAATTTTTTCCTTTTGAAATATTGTTTTCAAGTAAAATTTCTTGACTAACAGAGCGTTTATTGAGAAACAAAGTAATAAATCAATCGAATTAAAGTCGTGATGAAGAGAGAAATTGTCTTTACTTAAAGTGCGTAAGTTTGAATGGACGTTCGTTACTCGTCACACTAGAATGGCTGGATACATTATAATGTAGAACAACACATAAGGTACTTTTAACCTTGAAAATTCATTGATAAAATCTACATAAACCTGAGTAAAGCTAGTTTAATATAAGTCTCGAAAGTTCCACAATCACAGTGTATAATGTCGCAACACCTCTACTCTTTATTTATTTATTTATAACCAAACTTACATCTATTTTTACAGGTTACAAAACCAATGCAATTGCGAAGCAAATTTTAATTTTCTTTATAATATAGTGTAAATATTGTTACTTTAGTGAATTCACTCAGCGAACAATGAAATATGTCAATCTCCTCCGCAACGATATTCAGCGTGCGGAGCGCCCGAGACAGAGGCGCCTCATTTAGAAGATTGGTACGCCCTCTTGGCACCACCAGCAGCCGGGGCCGGCGCCGGCGCCAGACGTACCTATCCGGCACCCATAGCCTTACCAAACCCAATATTTCTGCATTGTGTATCTTACCTCTAATAATTTTAAATATATATTCTACTAGCATAAACTCCCTTCTGACTCTCAACTCACTGTATCCAACCATGCCTAGGACAAACAGAGTTGGATACATGAGTGGGTAGAAGGGATACACTCCGTATAGACGTAAATATAAAAATCTAATAAATTTATTTTGTACACGCTCCACCATGAGACTATATTTAGTTTCATGTGGAGCCCATATGACTGCGTTGCATTCTAATTGGCTCCTCACCAGTGCATTGTATAAAACAACAATTGCTTTAATATTTTCATAATTTCGAGAGGTACGTAATATGAAACCTAAATTTCTAAAAGCCTTCTTACAGCACTTGACAACCTGAATCCTAGTAAACGAATATTCCTGCACATTTTACAATGGTAAATAAATTGAAAACCTTTCCAAGAAACTAAGGAACCTGAATAAAGATCTTGAAACCAATGACATTGAAACATTAGATATCGAATCCTTTTGAGTAAACAAAAGCGGTGGGAGGAGGAGAGAAAAAGAACAAATAAAAGATAGTTGCAATATATTTGTTGCTTTTAAAGTATCATTTAAAGGTTTTTTTATGTTTGTATGTTCGAAACGTAAGTTTAAGTAAGATTCATATTTAAAACTTCATAATAACAAAATTAAAACATGCGGGATTAAGACAGATTTGATTTCAAGTAGGAAAGACCTTGATATTGCCTAATCTAAGGTCCTAATCATGTTTATCACTTACTACCAAAATTATAAGTACTGTATGGAAACAAGAGCTTTATATATTGACCAGTAGCTTAACAATAGTCAGTGAACTACTAATATTTAACGATTACTGAAAAACTAACGCTTTTTTAACTCCGAGTGCGAATTTGTACACGTTAGCACGACATAGTATTGACACAAAGCATATTTTAGATCGAACCATGAATAACTAGGAACTATACTCACGAAAGAATATACTGAATGTTATTTAATCACTAGCTGACCCGGCAAAAGCTGTTTTGCAAAAAAAAAAAATTAGGGGTGGGTCACCTAAGGGTGAACCACCCCTAATTTTTCTATTTTCATACCCCTAAATGGTAAGCCATTTAGGGTTATGAAAATAGATGTTGGCCCATTCTCAGACCCACCCGATGTGCACACAAAATTTCTTAAAAATCTGTCTAGCCGTTTCGGAGGAGTATGGTAACTAACACTGTGACAGGATAATTTTATATTTAAGATTAACTAAAAGTTAAATAATTATAAATATAAATTAAAATGAATAGACAAATCATTAATAAACATAATTGTGAGGTAAAATTTAAGGTTCATTTACCTAATTTTCTTACAAATATACCTATATGAATAGGAATTATTTTCGTTTAGATCTAAAAAAAAGGACATTGAAATAGATATCTTTTATCCGTTGGATATTTTTGAATTCATATATAGATATCCGGTAGGTACTTACTACTAAACGTTATCCATCTCAAAGTTAAGTAAATTTCGTGAACACTAAAAATAAAACGCACCCGGGAATAAGTCGGTCGTTGTAAGCCTAATTACGTCACAAAATTTATCCCTGAATTTTATAAAGTAATGTTAATTAACCTGTTTCTCTTGTCGTGATTAAGGGCGATCTTATTACCTACTCCTTTTACATTTTCTGGTAAAATACCAATTTGAAGTAGCTTAGTTGAGGTAACTTGTTCATTTTGATGTAAAGAGATTATAAGATGAACATTATTTAATTTATAATCATGCTTATAGTATATCATTTTGATTTCGATATTAGTTTTTCTTTAAACAGATGTACGGATCGAAATAGTCGAATTCTAGTTTATTTAAAGTGCTTGATAATTCCAAACGTTGGAATGATTCAATGAAATCTCTATGACAATGATCCATTTTCTACTACTCTAAATATATAGTATGATGCCATACATATTTTATAAATGTGATAAATTAATACACAAATTTATTTTGCGTAAGTTTTTGCGTAAAAAGACTTTGCGTAAATAAAAAACGTAATAAAATATTCAGCCGCATTTTATACGTAAGCATTATTTATGCTAAAAAAACATTTTAATGCCGTCTGACGCTGGATTTGTCTGTATTTAAAATTTCACTGTATAAGCCACAACACATTATTTTATGCTTTTGTCTTTATTTCTAATAAAGGCTTAAACTAATTCATTTATCAGAGAGTACAATAGATTATTTTTATTGTCTAATATAAAACCAAGGTTATTGTTCCGTTAAATGCCCGTATTGAGCAACGAAAACGTTCCGACACCAACACAAAAGAAAAATATTGAAGGTGACAAAAGAATTTGGAAGCAAACTGGACGTCCTCACAAAGTGTAATCAATATTATTTATTGTATATGTTCTGCATAAAATTAATGATCACGATGTAAAAATACGGCTACAAAAATCTGAAACACAGAATTATGTTTTTAACTATAAACAATATTTTTAGAGACAGACCATGCTTCAAGCTTTCACAAAAAATATCGAATATAACATTAACGAGGCCAATTATTAACTTAAGGCATATTTATTTACAGTTAATTTTGATATAAGTTACTTAGATAAGGAATTTGAATAACACCAATATAAATATAAAAGTAATAATTGCTGGCAATAAATTTATATTTTTTTGATATTATGACTTCGGAAAAAGGGAGTTTGAGTTTTGTAACTAAACAACAGAACTTCATGTTTATTAAAAAAATCGGCAGTAAAATGATCATTTTCTTTCGAAAAAAATTAAATACATCGACCTCAGGGTATTTGCAAAATGTTCCTTGATTTCTTTTTTAGAAATGTTCAATAATAACTCAAAGCATGGTTTTTCTCTACAGTTATTCCATCCACCTCCACCACCAGTGACAAAATAAAATCCAATTTACTGAATACGTACTTGGTTTCGTCGATGTACACTGCTTCAAGCACCTTCGCAGCATATTGTAGGTTTTTTTGGAGTGTTTCAGCAGATATTTCACCTCTATTTAATTGTCTTAGAAGATAGCGTAATCTGTCAACAAAAAGAACATATTGTTAATTGTTAAGGTTTTATCAGAATTTTTAAGAAATACTAGTAACATGGGTACTGTTAGTCTAGTGTGTAGTGATATTGACTGCAAAGCCCGAGCTCCTGGGTACGATTCCCAGGATAAATAATTAGGTGAATAGTACGATTGTTTGTACTGAGTCTGGGTCAAATTTATCTATAATATATATATGTTTGGTAGTAGGTATTTAAGTATATTTATAAGCAGTCTGGTTATCATAGTACAAGCTCTGCCTGCCAGAAGGCAGTCTGTGTCGTATTTCAAGTTGCTATTGTTATATTTTCTTTATATATTTGTTATATATCTAAGTTAAATACTTATTTTGTAGGTAGGTTTCTGGCTCTGTAGTGTAATGGATGTAATTCGAACCCGCAACAATACAAAGCATCTAATTTATTTAATAACGAGCTTTCCTTTTGTTAATACTGTGTTGTTATAGTTACAACAGTGGTTACATTATAACTTTACACAGTATACCGGAATTAATAATGGGATAAAGTTGTTAGCTTTAAAGTATTTTGCGGCAATAACAGCTAATAATCGCGTCTTAGCCATCGCTATCCCATCTTCCAAGTGTGTCCCACTATTTAAATGACGCAATAAAAGTGATCCTTTGGTTATTTTTCGTGTCAGATCACTTGCAAACTCCATCAAGAATTCACATCCGGGGCACGTATTAAACTACTGTATTAGGATTCTTCTGAAAAGCCATAAAAAGCTTTTTATAGGGTCGGTAATAGCCTACTACAATCGCCCACGATCAAGGATATGCTTATTTACCACATTACCGACATAAACTCAGTTACCAGCTCCAGAATGTTTGTTGTTGGGTAATAAATTATTCTATAACACCCTAGCGCTCATATCAGATGATTTTAACATTTATATCTATTACTTTAAATCAATTTAACAATTGGTTTGGTTTGAATTTGTATATTTTTTTATATTTGTGGCAAGTTAAATTTGAAAAGATTACATATCTGTTGAGTAATATCTAAGATGAAATACCGTGAACGAAGCATCAGCGGGACACTGTCGAGTCCGACATAATTATTCCACCAGTGAGTGGTATTCGAGGGGATTTCCGCATAGAAAAAAAAAAACACACGTAAAAATCTACGTCTAAAATTTTACTTATTTCATATCACATCAACAGAATTGTCCACTGCTGGACATAGCTGCTGTCCTTTGAAAGGAGGTTTCTATTTCATATAATACAATATATTTTTTGCGGACATCTGACACACAACGCTATCTAGTTTCAAACTAAGCAACTAAGCTTATACTATGAAAGCTAGATTGACTGATAGAATACCAATATACTTTTTTTTTGTTGTAAAAACAAACATATTATGCATAGAAAACACCAAAACTCTGAAAAAATATTTGCAAAACTCAGGCCTTAGCTGCTTCAGCAGTCGCATACGCTAGCACTGCACTATTGAGGCTGTTATAAAACAGGTCCGAAAATGTTGCCTATAAATTGCAGTGTTAACATCTTAATAAAACGACCCTAATTTTAGACTACAAGTACTTGCCAAGCACGGCCAATCGACCGTGTGTGTTCGGGGTTGCCCAATATTAGTTCGCACTACCCAACCCGAAATAAATTGGATTGGGGCCTCAACGCTTTACACGCCCTTATCCGAGATTTTCGATACCTAATATTGCTCTTCTATTTGATTCAGATAAAGGACTCCAGAACTATTGGCTAGTGATAAAAACTGTAACTAAGATTTATTTTTATTCTTAGCCTTTGCCTTCAAACGGTGTCTTTGGAACATCCCATTACAAGCGGGTACCAAAAATGACATTTGATGTTTTATTAATTTTTATTTTTTGCTAGCATCTTTCTTTATCAACACTATTTCGGTTTGATAAATTAAATCTTATAGATAATGGATTTCTGAGATGTTATGATAGATTATTTTCCTTTTGCAATATTTTTGACCGATTTAATTAATTTAGGCGGAGATTGCTCATGTTACGTATCATTGGCTTAGTACAGTTTTGATGATTGAATTTAGTAAATAAATTTTGATTGATTATTTAAATAAAACAAGCAGAAACATAGGATTGAACTTTCAAAAATGTAAAACTCACAATTATAAAAATCATTTGAAATTCGTAAATATTCGGATGAATTAAGAAAAATCGCTGGAACAATCAACCTAAGTTAAGTTCTCATATAATTAGTTTTATTTTCGTATCTATACACATTGCAAAATATATTGTTATATCGATAATAATATAATTAGCAGTAATAGATATTTTGATAAACGAATAACGTTCATCAAACTTTCTGTTCTACTGTGTACTGTTCTGAAAACAACTCAGTTACGATATTGTTACAGTGATAAAATAAGATAATAGGCAATCTTAGATAACTCGATCGTCGATAGAACAGTCCTATTGTTTGTTTGTGACCCCTTTTGTTAGCCCTAGTTTGATGGAGTGGATGGAAATTGATCTTACAAGTAAAAAGACGCTAGTTTTACCCGTGTAAACTATTTCTTTACGATTTTCTGGGATTATTAAATTACAGATAATATAAGAAAGGCTCCATCTATTCCAATGGAATCTAAAAAATAATGATTGTTGTTGTTACTTGCATCTACACAGAAGTGTCTAATAATATGTCGCAATTTCGAAATTTCATTACTGTTTTTCAGAAGAACTTGAAATATATTTGAATGTTGAAATCCTCCCTGTCCCTAGTCTTAGATAACGAGGTGGCAAGAGACTAATGATTGATGGAATAACAAAAGATTTTAAACCATTTATCACGTTTTCTAAATAATAGTTATTTGTCTTTCTATTTCGGTTGCTTACTTGGTTTAAGTTGATTATATTTGTATTATCTCAATTAATAGGAATTTAACTTCATATAGGTACAAGTATAAGGTAGTTAGTAGTGTGTGGTGTAGTTACTGATACAGCATAAGAATATCTTTTTCTAATGAGAAGAAAGAATGCTCCTCCTCCTCTTCTAACATATTTATATTAATTTACCCACAGCAAATTACAGGCGGACACACTCTAAGCAGGCAAAGCCAAGCTTTACTGAAAAACTTCAACATTCAATTTAAAAAACATTTGTTTGTAAATAAGTAACTTTGTAATCCTGATATAACACATAACACATTTCATAATAGATTATAAAGCAATGTAGTTTTGTCTACAATACAATAGGATAATAAAATTTGTATTTAGATCCATATTCACAGACTAATAATGCTTTCTTTAATATGTCTACTAAAAAAAGTATTGAGATCTCATCAAAACACAATATGTAAAAATGCAAAGTTTTACGTCGCAACCGCCAACGAAATCTACATACACCAACAATATTAAAATAATATAAGCGCTCAGCGCTCTTCATATATGTTGGTGTATGCATAAAAATGGTAAATTAGTCATATTTAAAATGGTGGAATTTCTTACGTAAATATGCTGTTATACAATGGCCAAGTTTACTTAATAAAGAAATAAATATGTCGACAATATAGGTACGATCACAAGAAAACGTTATTTAAGAAATTTGGTAACAATTAGATCTTAAAACTTTTTGCTGAGGAAGATGATATGACTCGATCGATGTGCGTTTCTTTTATATATATATATATATATATATATATATACATCGTCCTTATTTGGAGTGCACAGATATGATAATAATAGTTAAAGAAAAATAGTTTGTATTTATCTTTTTGCAGGTTATAAATACCTTCATATCTAAATAGTCTACATTGTTCTTCAAATATTTTTTAAATAGTAGGTTTATAAAATAATTTTTACGTAAGTATTTACATACTATTTCATTTTATAAGATATAAATGTTTCGTATAAATTTATGTAGCAATGCTCTAACATAGCTTCAACTTTTACTTTATTTATAAAAAAAAAAAACTATATCTGTTTATACGTGTTTTAAACCTAATAGTACAGGCTCTATTTAACTATGATTTATGAATTGTTATTTTAAAGTCGTATAATAATGATACAAAAATTTAATGTCTCCATTTGAACAGAGTCGCCGAGTTCTTTTCTCAATGAATCTTTTTTTCTTTTAATGTAATAATCCGTGAAACAGAAAGAAAACCTAATTATTTGATTCCCAAATTTGTTCAAACCCTAAATTTCCTTTGAAAAACTCTTTTTATGTCGTTAAGTTGTTAAGTATTAAATAAAATAACTTTGCGAATGACAAAGAAAAGATTGACTGAAGTAAAAACCTCCTGCAAAGAAAATGCTTTAAAAGACTTTCCAAGTCTTATATTTCATTCAAGCGACGCAACCGTTCGCTACTAGCGATCGTCTGAGAGGTCTCGTTATCTATTCCTTTTACAAACATTAACATTGTTCATGTAGTTCGTTTATTTAATGTTTTGTGAGTAATAACATAATAAAGACCAGATTTCCAATCAAGTGCTTATGGCTAGAGGGGTTACAAGGATCTAGTAAGACCCACATCTGTGTAAGAGAATTTATTTTCGCTGAAAGTTGCCAGGCGACTTGAGTTTTCCCGAAATTTGCAACAATTATCGTCATACTTCAACAAATTTACACAAAACTTTAAAAAATTATACACCTAAATCTTCGTCATAAATCATCCTGTCACTTGATGAAAACCGCGGCGGGGGACTTTCTTTTATAATAAGTTCAAAGTGTTGTCCCACGTAACGATCGAACAAACCACACTCAGCGTAATAGGAAATGGCGAGGTGACCGCTTAAACCTACACCATCCATGAAATCGAGTTTTTTTACTTTGATTGGTGCCTAAGTTCTGAAGTATAAAGAAGGCTCAAATGGAACTTAAATGGAACGATTAAGGAAAGGGTACTTAGTTATTTATGACAAGGATGGTTACAGCTATAGTCCATCAAAGATTATGGTCTTTACGATAAACGTTAATACTTTTTTGTACTTTATCCCAAAACGATAGCATAAAAGTGCTATCA